GGACTGCGCCTACCTGACGAGCCCCAAGAAGGGCGAAACCGGTCGTGGGCTGTCAAAGAGTTTTCAGCAACCTTGTGAGTAGTTTCTTTTATGAAAAAAAGACGTTTTCACCTACTTTTGTCTTTCAGAAAGCGTAATTTCCAGTTGGTAGAGTGCCGCAATTAGACGCCATTATTTTAGGGTTGTGCTTCATCAGAGAGAATTGTAGCTGAGAGAGATTAACATACCAACGAAAAAAAAACGCTGTTCCAAGAATCGGAGTTCAGACTAGACGCTTTTGTTTAGAAGTCTATGCGTTCTGTCCGTTATCTTTTTTCGACTTCAAATTTTCTACCACCTTCGAGCCCAAGATGCACAAGTGTGATATGCCAGATATTCGCGATGCGACTGTGCATATTCTCTCTCTCAACAATGTAAACCATGTTACTACACTGCGATCATCCATGAATGGCATCAAAAAAGTATGCTGAGAACAGAGCAGGGTCATGTTACGATTGGCTAACGGGTTTCACGACTCATTCAGTCCAAGTTCGTCATGTGTAATTTGTGTTCGTTAATCTCTGCGCGAACTGGACAACGGATAGTATTGTTATGATTACTGATTTTAGTGGGTTAAAACTGTTGTGAGTAGCAAAGCAAAAACTTACTGTTGTTGTACTAAACTTGAATATGCACCGTAAGACAATAGCTTATCCATAACGAAGCACCAATGAATTGGTCCAATATCGCGACATTTTGGAACACCAAATACACCCATTTGGGGTCCACCAATGGAAACAACAGCTCCGATTTTTTTAAACGGACACCGTTGAGCTAAAGCACGAACAAACAGTCCGCCTTGTGATAGACCAATCATATGAACACCGTCTCGGAACACAGGGTCTGACAGCAGTTCGTTGCAAACCTGACTGATCTGTATATCGATTGGTTTGAAATAGGAATCTTCAATATCCTTCGAGATTGAAAATAAGCCCGGGGTGCTTTGAAAAATACCTCTGCATCCGACTGACTAGTAGCAATGCATTTCACTTGTGTTCCAGGGATCATTTGCTGCACAACCTCACCGAGCTGCCTTATACCCCCACCCTTTGCATGGTCGCCTGTAGAAAGAAAATAGATATTCTTCGGCATCAAATTACCCATTCCATGCCAGATGATAACCGGGAGTGTTTCGAAGGAGGTGGCAACATCAGAGAAAAGCAGGATGATTAACAATAGTCCGCTCCTTGTGCACATGCGAGTGAACGTTCGTGTGTACTGATTTAGTCTGTTCACTTCGCTCGACCAAACCTAGCCATCGTCCGGTGAAACAACGTATTATTATAAACAAATTTGACTGGTTGTCTGTTGATCGATAGCAGCGCGTGTTCGGCTGATGTGCTGTGACGTATACAGCAAAGTTTGTGCTCGGTGCATCGTTCACCTGTAGCAGTCCACAAACAGGTTGAAATGATTACAAACAAATATTTAAGACGTCTCACCGATGCAGCTTGATTACGAAGTTCATCTGATCATATGTGACGGATGAATCGACATCTATATTGCACACTACTGAAGCTCATCATCACCACAAGCGTTTTGTATCAAAACATAAAGTAACGGATCCTACAAGATTATCGATTCAATATTCAAAGAGTTCCAGAATGTTGCATTCCCAGGTATGCAGGAAGAGGTTGAGGTTTGTCAACTTCTTGTCTACTCTCTTGTCATCTCGTGACCTAGGCAAATTCACCCAGGAGCAGTTTGAGGTTTTTGGTCATCTGTTAAAATAACACCCATATGACTCGTCTCTCTCATGTTGGCTAACGTGAACAGATTCAATGAGACTTATTCATACACTTTGCAAACGTCACCACTACAATGCAATTCGAAGGACGGAATAATGTAACCAGGGCGCGATCTAAATTCCGAACCTTTGTTTATTCCTCCGGGAAGGCAAGTCGGAATACATACAAGATCGTCGTAGTGTGATAGAGTACATTCAATTTCCTTGCTCGAGTGAGAGTGGAATTAGCATGAAGTAGGGGGTTACCTCACAAAATGAAGAACCCCATTCAATCAGTTCACCTTATCTCTCTAAGGATTTAATTCGAGTTTAAGACACGGTCACCGACAGGTTTGTACACAATCGAACACAAACAAAAAACGAAATAATTGCACTGTCCAGCGGCATATTTGAGGGTGGATTAGTAGGCGCCACAGTTGGGCTAGGTTACAGCCTTGTCGAAATTATAACAGTGAGTAAGCACCAGCGTGTCATGAACTGCCAGACCGTTTCGAAATTTAGCCAAAACTGATTTACAAACTTCGGTATTCACAATCTCCAATGTTTGATATCCCGATTTTCAAGTAATTTTGTTCAGTTTTTCAAACGGTGTTCAACATTTGGGAATGATGAATGGTACGTAATAAAACACTTTCAAGTTTACATCCATAAATGCCCATTCATTCCAATCTTTATATCCAGGTAATACGTGAAAAGATTAGTCACATGTTAGTGGAACAACCCCCAACTCTCGTTAGAAAATAGAGTTTAGCAGAAACTGTTGCAGTACCTATTTTCTCGTATTTTCCTGCTCGAATAACTCTGGTCTCACCACAATATCCGTAGGTTCGATAATCCTAGGTCGACCAGTTTTTCGAGAGGAGCACAAGTGAACGGGTGACGAACACTATAAGATTCCATCTGTAGTTCAGCAACTTTCAAGCTTGAAATATCATCCTCAAGGGCCGATGGATTCTCCTGACACTTTGGCACCAAGTTTCACTGAATGGAATAAAACATCATGGGTAACCACCAAAGCATGTTCAGATACGATGCCCTAGTCAGCAAAATAGAGATACAACCAAGTACTGTCCTTTAAAGTTGCGACCACCACACATTCTAAGCAACCGTAAACAACGGTACGAGGAAAATGTTGGTAGCTCAGGTAGCGTTCGCTGAACTGGACAATTTGATTGCCAACCACCAACCCGTCGCTACGCAGCACTACGCTTCCCAATAACGCACTGATGATGCCACCTCGATTGGTGATGAAGCGTTTGCAATCAAATTGCCCAGCTCAGAGAACAAGCCAACGACCAACAACGGTACCAATTCAGTCGGCATTGAATTGGGATGGCTTCACAGATAAATGAATGCTGAAAAAATCTTGCCTTGTTGCTGAAGGTTACTTTGAATGCATAATTTCCGCGAAACTATCAAAGACGGAATTTCCTTGTGACCTGTGAGTTTCAATATTAGAACACTGTATCGAAGATGAACCAACCGGTTCAGGCTGAAGGCCTGACTATTTTGCTGCTCTCCACGAATAACTGGTTCCAATAGTAACCTCCATAGAGATTGCAAGTGCTGTCTGTTGTTTCCAACGAAAGTCTGTATTCTCAAAACGCGTTGAATTGCTACGAAAGCAGAGCATTCACAGAAGAACATCAAAACAATTCCTTCCTTTTTTCACAAAGGAAACTACTCACAACGTCGCTGAAAGCTAATCGCCAGCCCACGATTGGTTTCGCCCTTCCTGGGGCTCATTAGGTAGGCGCATTTCCCGAGTTTTCATCAACCTTCATTCTCTACGTATTCACCATGCGAGAAGAAAGATGAATCTCCGTATTTCACAAGTCAACACGAACGGGACAGTAGCTCAATTCCAAAAGTTTCTGTCCAACCAAACATAAATGGACCTGGTAGAAAAGCCAGAAAACCTTATCTCTAAAAGATACCACAGAGGCCTACCAGATCTTTTGCCTATACTGCTGAATGACAGTCATCGCGTAGCGGATTTACTACACAGTACAATGGTCGTGGGAAAGTAAGAGAAGCGAAACTACATCCCCGAAATGAGCGGCTTTGTTAGGCTCATTTTTGGAGAGTCGGAAAGATAGGCTCAATAAAAACAAGTAGCACTACATCATCAGATCCCACCACAATGTGTCGATTGTTGATAAAAGCCATTTTCCATGGGTTGGACTTCAGTTATCTCTTCATCTCTAAATACCCTTGCGGTAGTACGTTTATCGGTAGGATTCAAAAACCGTCGTTTATTAGGATTTCTGAATAAACAGTCAAGCTCACTGCGTAACACTACCCTCAAGAGTGAAGATATTCCCAAATGACTAGACGGGCTTTCTAGACTATCGGATGTTAAAACGGCGCTTTGCTAAAACACAGAAGATCCAGCCAGCCAGATGTGCAAAGCAAATGGAATTCACATCAAGCTTTGCTGTGCTATGATAAAGCCATAATGGGTACCACAGATCCCTTTTGTAATCCAGTCCTGCTTGTGACTCGCATCTGAACTGTGCTAATCCATACAAGCCATAATTAGTTCCTTAGTCAGTATGTTCTCACCCGCTTATGGACAACTCCAAATCCTGCAATCAACTGTGTGTAAACAACTGCCGATATCACACAAAATAGTCTAATTTATCTATTATGTGTTGCTTATTCACGCTGAACAGGACGAGATGTATGAAACGATCGACATTAGTGAACCGAGTTGCCCCTGGTTTTACATAAATTGCAATTTGACTCTTTTGCATACAAACGGAATTCTTTTGATAATGGAATAACTAGGCAACCGTTTTGGCCATTGCCCTGACGTACATAGTGTTCTTCATATTGGACAAAATCCGCTGCTGCTTAGTGCTTTTTCAGCATGGGACTGAATCGAAGCCGTCCGCAGCTTCGTTTTTATTGTCACTTGTTTAGTACATCGCTTGACATCGAGGCCTTTTAGCCATAAGGATGGCCAAGTGACCACAGTGACTATTATTCAGTTATTTGGGCTTGCTGTGTAATTCATTCTGCTATGCGGACGACGAATTTCCAACGTTATTGTTGGATTTAATTACCCACAACAGTGACCAATGGGTTAAACTTCCCGATATATACATCATGTTCCTATTGGCTAGTGAAAATATGCACTACAATAACTATTTGGAACCCTCTTAGAGCAGCTGAGATGATAGAACAGTGGTGATCAACAAATGCTTCTCCACAAGGATGACGTACAGCCAAAAACCTGAAATACATGCTGAACTGACAGTATTGGTCTTTGTTACTTAAAACTGGATCTCAGGGATAACATCAAGCTTCCAACTCTTTCGAACTCGCATCATCATTTTGCACTACAATTCAGACTACTTCAATCTTCCGTCATTTTCCGAATGGCCGTTGCTTATATTGCAGCAGGTAGCAATATCTGTTATCTGCGTACTAGATAACGATACAAATGATGCGGCATAGCGGTTCGTGTCTGGAGAAGATTTTCTTTATGTTGCACTGTAGACACTTCCAAATGCCTGACTAGCGGTATTCAGACCACAGTGACAAGAAAACTTCATCAGAGGCCAGGATTCAATGTAGATTCTTCATTTCTTACTGTTACTGTGAACACATCACTATGGCAACTGAGCAAAAAGCATGTTGTTGCCGGTATGCCTACTTTAACATGCCTTTTTAACATGAAGGAATCGCTCAATGCCTGGTCAGATTCTTATATCTGGAATCTGTATTATGTCCCTTATAAAACAGTCTCCAAATTACCCATCACCGCTGGCAAAACAAACTTAGTAATAGGTTTCATCAGGAAGATCAGATTCCTGAAAGCAACCCAGAACACTCGGGACCTATTGAGACCCTAAAACCACAAAAATTTCAAAAGAAAATCCGGCAAGCATCCAAGCCAATCAAGCATTCAATCAATTCAGCAACAGCCTGCATCGATGAAAGTAAAATTCAAATGGCTTGAGGTCCCTTGTCAGTGTTTCACTCGCGCGTACTCGCTTATTCGCAATAGACCTGGTGTGTACCTTATCGGTGAGTCTTTTTTAGGGACTAGGCTCTGGAGCGGGAACAGCATTCAGATATAGCAGGTACTTTATGTCTAACCAGAATATACTCAGGTTATCCAGCAACTTGTCCAGAAGCAGTAATTGTGGAATATGACGTCACCTATCTTCCAGAAAATCTGTTCGGGTTTCTGCTCAACAAAGTAACTGAAAACAAGAGTTTACCCTTCATTTGCCATTCGAACGAAACACATAATTTTGATCTTGATGCAACAGTTCCTTGTTGACTCGGGATGCATTACGAATAATGCAACTGCGGTCAAAGTGTATTGACAAGTCGCACTCCACATGTTCACCTGATTACACAGTGTGGTGGTGCGAGTCCGACAGCCATTAATGCAGATCGTTCATTGCAGCGAATACTGACTCTCAAACAAAACTTG